AGGAACCAAAGTAAATCAATTACTCTACATCTCAGCTCTCCTTGTCACCTGGAGGACAATGACACTGTCCAAAATTCATTCAGATGATGAAAAAGATTTGACTTATGTGAAAACAGATGTGCAGCCAATCTTTTCTTCCTACAAAGTTAGGGGCAGGAGATATATTCAAAGAAATCAGAAAGAAAAAAAAAAAAGAACCAATTCATTCTGGATAGGCACTTTAAATCATGAGAGAAAAGCCAGTGTGTTCCATTTTAACCCTTCTCCATCTACTGTGAAAGACAGCTGCCCATCACTGAGAAATACCATGTCCCCAGGACTCTATGAGGTTTGTAATCAATATTATCTTTAATCCTATTATCTTTGTAAGGAAGCAATTGTTTCTTCCCATTCTACAGACGGAAAAACAAGCTCAGAAAACTTACACCACCTCTTAATGGTCATTCAGCTCGTATAGAGGAGCACTGGTCCTCAAATCCAGGCCCCTGGGATCTATGTGCACATCCTTACCCACGAACCATTTAAAGACAACAATAACACCACCATATCATTACAGGATTCACATACGGTTCCCTTCCTTCTGCTCCCATTTATGAGTACCAGGCACTGTTGTAAGTACTGGGAATGAAAAGATAAGAAAAATTATGGCTTACTGAGCCCTTAACAAGGGCCAGGGCTTCCTCAGCATTCATTTTTTTTTTTTTTTTACCTTTAATCATTTTTATTTTTGATCGACATAGTAATTGTACGTGATTGGGATGCAATGTGATGTTTCAGTTCATCTATACATTTGTGAATACTCAAGTCAAAATAATTAATCCATCACCTTAAATGATACTTACCTTTTCTTTTTTTCTATTTTTCTTTTTTCGGTAGCATGGATTATACCTGGAGTGTGTAACTACTGAGCAACACCCCAGCCCTTTTCATTTTTCTATTTTGAGGCAAGGTCTTACTAAGTTGCATAGGCTGACCTTGAACTTGCTATCCTCCTGCCTCAACCTCCCAAGTAGCTGGGATTACAGGTGTGTGCCTCTGTATCAAGCTCTTCTGCTGCTTTTGAAAGCTGGGGATCAAACCCAAGGACTCATGCGTGCCAGGCAAATGCCCTCTCACTGAGCTACATCCCCAGCACCTTATCATTTCTTTCTCATGAGAATATTCAAAAATCCTCTCTTGTAGCTATTTTGAAATAGACAATGGATTACCATTAACTAGAGTTCCCTACTGTGCCTGAGAACCTCAGAACTCACTTCTCCTCACAGTAACTCTGTACCTGTTGACCACTCTCTCTCCATCTCCTACTATTTTATTCTCAACTTCGAAGAGATCAACTTTTAGGATTCCCCACACGAGTGAGATCATGCAGTATTTGTGTTTTTGCGCCTGGTTTGTTTCACTTAAGCTCAAGGTCCTCTAGGTTTATCCTCATTGTCACCAACGATAGAATTTCGTCAGTTCTTACACATTTAACCTTCACAGTAAGTCTATGAGGCAGGGACAATTCTCTTCTGTTTTACAGAAGAGAAAACCAAGGTGGGCAGATCCCACTAGTCCAAGGCCACATGGATCAGCATTAGTGGGACCTGGACTTGAACCCAGGAAGCCTGGGCCGAGGACTTGTGTTATTAACCATGGCACTACAGACCTCAGGAGGAGCTGCCAAAGTCAGGGCCCTAGAGTGAGGCCAGGGAAGCACGACATAAATAGGACCCTGATTCCCATCGACTTAAGAATGAGGTACGCTGATTCTCCATACAGAGAATCATTTGACAAGTAAACAGTAAAATTGTGGGGGGGCGACCCCAATGATTAAAGGCAGTTCCTCTGACTGCTGACCTAAGGGCTCCATCATCCCATTGGGCTGTGGCCAGCGTCTCTCTTTTCCATCATGTGTTTGTTAAACTCCAGGGAGCAACAGCACTGCACGGAAATTGTCTAGAAATGCCTCCAAATTGCCCAACTGCCCTCTGTGACATTTCTAAACATCAAAATGACTTCAACCTCAAAATATGCTTATATTTGAAAGGGCAGCATTCTCATCCAAAAGAGACATGGTTTTCCCTCATTTTAGGAAAAAAAATTGTTTTAAGTCTGCTACACCAGAGCTGAAGGGATATTGTGAAATCCTCAATGCCCACGTCGCACCTGGAAGAGCCGATCCTCCCAGCAATTGCAGCAGCTGCAAAGGCAGGTGTGCCCGGGGCTCTCACCTAGGTTCAGGGGCCTCTGGTCCAGCACATGGCGTCAGGACATCCTGACCCACATTCACAAGGCCACTGCACAGCTAGCTTGGAACCACATTTTCCCACCAGTGCAAAACAGCTCACACAACCTAGAAACCTTTATTTTAATTTATGGAGAAAGGCGGTCAACAAATCAAGCCACTTCCATGTGACCACCTGTAGAAACAGGCCCGGCCATGAAAGGAGTTTGGTTCTTCTAAATGACCTGTATCAGACTGCTGCCTTCATCTCAAAACGGTCCCTTCAAGTCAACCACCAGATAAGACATCTAAGCAAGAGGACTTTTACCCCAAAACCAAGAAAACATCTTTCTTCTCACTTCCCCTATGATGGTCCTATTTCTTTGTTTGTTTTGGGTACCAGGGATTGAAGTCATGGGCACTCGACCACTGAGCCACATCCCTAGCCCTATTTTTTGTATTTTATTTAGAGACAGGGTCTCACTGAGTTGCTTAGTGCCTCACTAAGTTGCTGAGATTGGCTGTGAACTCACAATCCTCCTGCCTCAGCCTCCTGAGCCACTGGAATTACAGGCGTGGGCCACCGCGCCCAGCTACATGTGGAAGGGCTGAAGGACTCGGGAGATGTTGGTCCAAAATACAAAATCTCATTTAGAAGGATTCTATTCAAGAGGTTGACTGTAGTAGGGGCTGAGGTTGTGGCTCAGTGGGATAGTGCTCGCCTAGCATACGTGAGGCACTGGGATCAAACCTCAGCAACGCATAAAAATGAAAAAAGATATTGTGCCCACCTTCAACTAAAAATAAATATTAAAAAAGAGGTCCACTGTATAACAGGGTGACTATAGATAATAATACAACATCTACTTAGAAAATCTTTCATGCAAAGATTTTAAATGCTCTCACCAAAAAAAAAAAAAAAAAAGGCATGGGAAGAAATGTGTATATTAATTAGCTCAATTTAGCCATTTAGCCATTCCGCAATGTACACATATTTCAAAATATCATAATTAGACACAATTTTTATTTCTCAATTAGAAATGAAACAGTATTCTCCACTATTTTTACAAATAGAAATAAACAACCACTGGTTAACCGCATGCTGCACTACCATCTCTCCCAGGGTCACTTCCCCACCCCCAAGACCTTCGTGAAAAGGGACAAGAACCCACAGTGGAGCCCGGCGACAAGCTCCTGATGCACATTGCTCCACTGAGTCCCCAACGCAAAAGCTGAGCCTGGATGAGCTCTTCCCCCAAGCAATAAAGCTGGCAGCTTACAGCTCAGGCACCATTAGCAGTGGTTCTTAACCTTGGCTACACGAGAGAATCACCTAAGGAGCTTTTAAAAATCCCTAGGCCCATGGAAACAGGATCCTTGGGAGTGTAATTCACACACACTGTATTTTTGAAAAGTTCTCCTGGTGCTTTCTCTGTGCAGCCAAAGTTGAGAATCATCCATCTCCATCTGCATGACCCAGACAAGGTATCTGTGCCTGAGGATACCTATCCACCCCCAGGGTGCAGGGCGGACTCCCTGGGCTAACGCAGGCAGCATCCTCAGCATTGCCAGGCACTGTCAATCAATCTTGGAACAGGGAATTAATTCTCTAAGTGGCTGCATCACCATGATGGGATCAAATCTCTCCCTTCTGCACTCAAGGTCTTGTTTTGGAAGGAGACACGGAGGAGAGATTAAGGCTGAACAGGCAGCCAAGGCAACAGCCACCTCTGGCTTCTGTTACTGAGGGCCTGCATCAACAACTCTTTTTTCAAAGTCCCCCTGTCCCCCCCGCCTCCGCATCTTCAGATGAAAACATTCTCCTGACAGCCTCGTGCCAACTGGATACAGGTCAACACCAATGGCCTCAAATGGCTTCTTTCCATCTGAACGTCTGCCTTCTTAGTCTCCTCTTTTTAGTCTTCAACTTTAAAAAGCCAGTTTCTAAATCACTCAGCAATAAGGACCTATAACTTAAATGATCCAATCTGCAAATGGCAAGATTTCAGTCCTTTGAGGAGGAGGCCATAAGTCAAATGCTTAACCCAGGGGGTCCTCAACACCATCTGCATAAAACAATCACTTAAGAAAGCCTCAAAGAACACCAGTACCCCAGTCCCAACCTCTGGAGATTAACTTATTTGATCTAGAGGGAGGCCCTGAGTATCTACTATATTTGAAAGTTTCCCGAGATAATTCCAGTAGGTGGTTATCACGAACCCCACCACATCAAAAAACAAAGTGCTTATCCTGGGAGATTGCAACTGTATTTTAAACACCTTCTTCAATCAACTGAGCTACCTTTCAAGACACCAACACCAAGAGGCAAAAAAAAGAAAAGAAAAGAAAATCCAACATTGGTGGGAAAGCTTCCTGCCTTTATCTTTTCACTTTAAAAACCAAGCACTATAATTAAGAATGGCTCATTCCAGGTCAGGTATCTAAAACTATCAGGTCCCCCCCCAAAGGGACAATGAGATCTACTGAAATAACTCATATTCCTGTAACTGGATCCATACATCCTATCCGGCTGGAGGAATACATGCACAAATGAAAAGCTTTAAACTGAATTAGTGCAAACATTTTTTATAGGCACATGAAAGCCCTAGGAGAACCCATCCCATTTTTGACAATAAATTTATGTCTTATTCAAGAAGCTGTAATGCTTCACACTGTGAAAAAAAATAAGTAAATAAACCTATCATTGCTTTATCACCTTCCACCCTCCAGCCCCCACAGAGCCAATGCCCTTCAAGCAAGTCAAGGTGACCCCTCCAGAAGGCCACCACCTTACCTCTGAATTTCTTAGGTGGGTTGTTAAGGTCTCCAGCTTCTGGCTGTACAACACAACGATCATCAACCAGGCTGCAAAGAAAACAGAGACGAGTGCCAGATCAAACTAAGTCTAGGAAAATAAAACTCTCGGCGCTACACAAAAAATTAAATATCCCAGAGCTTTTTCTGCACAAAATGTAGACTTCGTGTTCTTCTGCCAGGGAGCTATTTGCAATAAAGGAAATGGAGTTCCATCTAATCCAAAAGCCCAAGGTTCTGTTTCTATGCTGGATGCATTAGGCGACTGTTCTCTGCCCTGAACCATATTCGTGATAGATGTGGGTACAATCTGCTCACTGCCAAGGTCAAAAGACATCAAAAAAAAAATAAAAGGGCGAGTGCAATCCAACAAATGGTTAGCTGAGGTGCCAACTTTGCACCAGGCACTGTACTAGGCCCTGAGATGTGAGGGTGAAAATGAGCCCGGCCCCGTTAAGGCTACTGCAGAAGCCACAAAAGCAAACTGATAAGGACAGTGTAATTGAAAAGGCTGTAAAAGAAGGAAGAAAATACAGCCAGAAACCCAATGTGGCTGAGGCCACGAGAGCAGGAGGCAGAGGAAGTTACGCTAGAATTAGTGGGAGTGTTGAAATAGAGGTGGGAGGACAAGGAGGGTAACGTCTCTAGGTGCCAGAAGCACAGAGAAAACCCACAGAGATCGGGAGGGAAGGATTTGGAGCTTCAAACATGATGAGTGGACAAAGCAGGAAAATAAATTACCAATAAACAACCAACCTCCCAACCTCCCCGGCTGAAAGCAAAGCTGCTCTAGGCTACGAGCGCCATGGAGGCCATGGGAGCCTGGTGTGCAGCCCACAAGATGCCCAAGGCTGGAAGTCAGTGTCCATTTGGTGAGTGAACCAGTGTCCAGAGTAGCCACCCGCATCTAGCCTCCTCGGGCTTCAGAGCATAAGACCTCAGTGTGCATCAACAGGAGCGCGGATGTGGTCCAGGGTCTGAGGCTTTCTGTTTCTTTTTCTATCACTTATTTTTTTATTATTTATATTTATTTATTCATTTATGTATTTTTGCAAAAACTCAAAAGAGTATAAAGGGCACATATAAAAACTCCACCCTGGGGTGTAATCACATGAAAAGCAAATGGAGATCAGCAGACCAGAGGAAACTGACCTGAGGTGGGGGGGAGGGGTGGAAGGAGGGGCGAGAGGGAGGGAGAAAGTGCAGGCGATGGATATTGACCAAATTATATTGTTACATTGTGTGCATGGACTAAAATGCAAAGGCAAATCCCATCATTAGGTAACAGCATAATGCACCAATAAAACAGACCCACCCTCAATCCTGTTAGTGGTAATACCACCAAAGCCAACAAAAGACTTGAAAAGGTGGGCGCAGAACCCCAGGCAGGGCTGTCATGCATCCAATTCTCAAACCAGGAGGAAGGAGGAGGACAAAAGGCCCTGTTCAGGTCTAGACTGCTGAGGGCTCTCTGCCACCTGCAGATGTGACTGTCCTTCTCAACCTTTCTGATCTCAGTCTCTTCATCTGTAAAATGGAAGAATTGGTCTCAAAGATTCTCACCTTTGCTCATCAGTTTTTCTCTGTCTAAATAACACTCATCCCAGGACCCTGTCATCCCCCAGGCTTATTGAAGAGAAGGGACCCAAGAACTTTTATCTCTAACAGGATCTGGAGGTGACTCAGAAGCACATCACTAGTTAGCATCTGTGAACACACTGGCTCGCTCTCTCTTCTGAGCTGTGACTCCTTGGGCTGGAGTTCTAAAGCTCAAGAAGCAGATGAAGCCACTCGGAGGTGAGCACACCCATCTCCACCAATAGGAGGGGCCAAGGAGCCAGATACCAAGTCCCACTGAGCCCCATGACTGGTCCTCCATAAAATAACATTAATCATATCAAAAAGGAAGAAGGGGGGTTCAAACTTAGTTTTCCAAATCAATTTTGATGCCAACTATCCTCCAATATATGCAGATAAAAAGGTGAACACAGTATTCATCCAAAGCAAGTACCAGAGCTGGGCACACTGACACATGCCTGCAATCCCACAGACTCAGAAGGCCAAGGCTGGAGGATCACAAGCCTCAGTAACTTAGTGAGACCCTGTCTCAAAAGGAAAAAAATAAAAGGGTCTGGGGATGTGACTCAGTGATAAAGTGCCCCTAGGTTCAAGGCCCAGGTTTAAAAAAAAAAAAAAAAATATTAGAGATCCAAATTTTAAAGAACAGCCACCCTCTCTTGACTGCATTTTAAATTTTTTAAACATTTTTGCAGGGTTGGGGTTGTGGCTCAGTGGTAAAGCGCTTGCCTAGCGTATATGAGGCACTGGGTTCGATTCTCAGCACCACATTAAGTAAATAAATAAAATAAAGATATTGTGTCTAACTACAACCAGGAATATTTTTTAAAGACTAATTTTGCAGTGCTAGGGATCAATCCATATCTTCACTTTATGTGTGCAGGGGGTGAGGGGGCTCATTCATTAATTAGTTTGTAATACTTTTTAATAGGAAAACATAAAGCAAAGAGTTCGAACCTTGGAGGAGTTTTAAGAGGTAGGACCCTAAAAAGAGGTACAATCTCAGGGGCTGACTGGGACTCTGCATCTGATCCACATGCATGTGAGCCTGGATGGCTTGGTGGGACAAGGGACCCTGAGGAATGGTGAGCATACAGTGGGGCAGAAGTCTAACAGCCCTGACATCCAGACCAGAGCTGTGGGCAGAAAGCGAGGAGGGGTGCTCTGAGAAGCTAGGAAGGGAAAGGCTGCCCTACAGAAGGTAACTGTCAGGACCCCTGGCCTTGGAGACGAGAGCCTTCCAAACTGTGAATCCTTGGACAAGCATCTGCACCTCTCTGAAGTGCAGAGGTGTTGCCTCCATGAACCATGGTGACACCGTGAAGAGGTGGGTGTTAAGGATCAAGAGGAGGGTGTGGGCATGGGACCTAGTACAGCACCTGGCACACAGTGAACACCCACGGGGCTCACGCAGGGCTTACCGCTGCTGTATGTTACTGTCGCCATTGCTGAAAAATAAGAGAGTGAAAAATTCAACCATGGTGGATGGAAAGGAGGAGAAGGCAGCCGGGATGAAAGAAGGGGCGGTCAGAGAGGAACAAGAGGTCCACCAGGTAGGGACATCAAATGTAGAAGCATTCACTAGACTGGTGACCGGGCAGACCCAGTGACTTCTTTTTTTATCAGATGACTGGAAACCAAACTTTCTGTACAGTGAGAACCCAGGTCTAATTGAGCTGTAATTCTGTATTTGAAATACTTTCCTCCTTGAGGGTGGAGTAAGCTGACTGAGGCCTTGGGAATACTCATGGCACCAACACCAGAAAACAAGCCTGATTTCCATAATAGCTATAATTAAAAGGAAGACTCTGGCTGCTGTAAAACAGAGGATTTTGGAGATACTATGGACCTGCCTTCTCCCCATTTACTTGAAATCAGCTCTTGCCAAATTCAACAAAGCCTCCCCAGGCCTAAGTACTCCTCCGTACAGAGTACACACCATTCCTGACTGTCCGGAGTTCACCATGTTGATCCTCCATACTGCTCTTGTCTGCCTTGGGGGCCACTTGGCTTCTCATTTCCTCTTTTTAGACAATAGGAAAGGGGAGAAGATAACTCAAAGAGGGCATAATGGCATATATTTATATCCTTAAAAGTGGAATCAAGGGCTGGGGCCATGGCTTAGAGGCAGAGCACTGGATGCATGCATGAGGCACTGGGTTCGATCCTCAGCACAACATAAAAATAAACAAAAATAAAGGCATTCTGTCCACCTACAACTACAAAAAAATTTTAAAAAGAAAAAAAGTGGAATCGAGATTGAAGAAAGCACAAATAGAGAAACCCGATTGACACAACTTGGTGCAATTTGTAACTTTCAAATGCATTCGGCAATTTAGAGTAGGAAAGTTAAGGAAGGTTCTGCTTCAAAGAGACCTAAGCATCATAGAAGTTCTGAATTCATAGAGTCCTAACTAATGAGGGGTTTGTTCTTTCAAAACAGATGGAAAACAGTATTCTTGTGTAAGAGGTTAAACTTGGCTAACTTGGGATTTGGAATCTGTGATTTCAACCGCCCTTGGAAAAGCCGAGTAAAACAGGAACATGCTTATCTTATTTTTTTTTTTAAGCAGATGTTATGATATCTTAAACAAGATCCTGCCACACAAGAAACTGTGTGCTCTTACCCCAAGGTGCTGATAAACCCATTTGTCGATCCCTCGGCGTACAGAGAACAAATGTCTCCGATATGTAGGAAACTGGCCATTTTGTCAGACATGGCTTCCTTGAAAATCCTAGACAAAATAAAATATGCAACATGGTTAGAAGCCATGCCAGGTGGTGGGGGTATCGGGGATCACCGAGAGCTGGCTTAATTCAATGTTCCAAAGTGCCTTACTTAAAAACCAAATTTAAATAGGACTTTGACAGGCAGGAGATTCCATGAGCCAAGAAAGGACATAGGCACCACAGTTTTGCTCATAGATTATTTAATCTCAGGACATTCCAACCACAGTAACATTCGTCTCTAGCAAAACCAGCCTGAATCAGATTGTACAAGTTGCGGACCCTCAATAATAAACAGTGACTATAAAGACTGCAGGAACTTGGCCAAGAACTTGCAGCAATTAAGGGGTTGGAAAGTCTGACTTATGAAACATTAACATAGTCAATGCGCCTCAGGGAATGTTAAGTTAGAAGGAAACACCTGGTATAAAACTTGAATCTGGCAGGGCTATTAGCCCAGGGCCAAGGTACCAAAGAACAAAATGATATTAACAAAAGGAAACCCTGTGTCATAAATACCCCCAAACCCTAGCTGCCTTATTAAAAATTCAACTGTTCACCCTTCACCCAAATGTTACTTAAATGGTTTGTTGGTGGTGGTGATGGTGGTGGTGCATCCTTCACCAAAAATACTTCCATAGAGAGAAAGGTCGTAGGACAGCACCTGGTTCCAAACCCTTCAGTATTTGGGTGAAAATAATAAGGTTCCCAGGCCAGTGACAGAGCTAGTCTTTGAAAATACTAAGTTCCACAAAACCTTTACAAAGCCCAGAAATCATTACACACACACACACACACACACAAATATCAACAAAAACATTGAAGTGATTCATAAAAACAGCTTTTCATCAGGGCCATGAATACTGAGGAGTGGGAGCCAATTTTAAAAAGCTGAACTGACATTGACCAAACAAACTCCTTCACGTGGGAGGATGGCGGGCTGCTATGGATAGCAGCTCATTCCCCGCAGACACCTGGCTGGTAGATGTGCAGAGAAACAGAGGGCTCCCCCAAGCCCAGACCCCTTTAAACACCTTTACCACCTGCTCCCCTCCCAGGAGTCATTTATCTGGCAAAGCCCAAGGACTTGCAATGGTGTGGAAAAGTGCTCTCTCCCCTTCAACTGCTTTCTGGGTGCCAAGTTTTCTTTTAGGAAGAATCAGGCAGCAGTGATCACCATGGAACTTGGGGAAGCACTCTCCTCCTTTAGCAGGAATGCCAGCTGCTGAGAGCAAACCCTTTCAGCTCAGTCCCCTGCTTGTGAGAAGCTGCAGGGGAGGACTCATTTTTCCCCCTCCACACAATGCAGACCTTGCAAGAGAGATAAAGAGCATTTCACCAGGCACAAACTTATTAATAGAGGGAGAGAGCAACTGAGAATACAGAATAAACTCAAACCAAAGAGCCAGCATCTGTGAACCTGAAGGAAAGACACAGAAAGGGCTGGCCAAGGGCTGCCCTCTAGAATCCTGTCAATCACTGGTTGTTTCCTCTTAACTAAGTACTACACCGAAGGGCAAGGCAATTTTTAAGAATTTTTAATTAATTAATTAATTTATTTTTACAGTACTGGAAATTGAACCAGGGGTGCTCTATCTCTGAACTATGTGCTCAGCCCTTTTTGAACTTTGAGACAGGATCTTACTAAGTTGCCCAGATTGGCCTCTAATTTGCAATCCTCCTGCCTCGGCCTCCCCAGTAGCTGTAGTAATTACCTCCCCACAAAGGTTTTAAACAATATCCCTGCTGGTGGCACTAGTGGCAAACACTAACGGGTATTAATATTTTCCCCGTGAGTTTATCTTTAAAAGTTTTATCTTTAAAGGACCAGAAAGTCAGCCTATTTTGGGGACCAATTTTTCCCCCTGCTATGGTACTAGGGCTCAAACCCAGAGCCCTGCACATGATAGGCAAGACTCTACCAGTGGGGGACACCGCTAGTCAATTCTGATATATTTTAAGGAAAACAAAAACAGGGTATTATGTATCATGAAGGCACAAAACAATTTTTCTTTCCAGCGCTGGGGAGTGAACTCAGGACTTTGCACATGCTAGGCAAGTGCTCTGTCCCTGAGTTACATTCCCAGCCCCTGGGACCAATTACTGGAAAACGATGTTTGAATTTTGAGTCAGACCAAATCTGTGTCTGTACACTCCAGCCTCCCAGAAGGACAAGGGGGAACTGCCAAATGCAAAAGAGCAGGTATGTGCTTGGGCAAGACGACCAGGGCCTTCCTTGTCCAGGGTGACTAACACTCTCCTCTGGGCCTGCCTTTCAAATGGGCATTGGGTCCCAGTGGGGACCAGGTCAGGAAAGAGCAGTGAGACTGCTGTGTTAGGAACTTTCATCACCATCTGGGTACCCTACTGAAAGGTTTCAGGCCCGTAAAGCGAAGCAGCAGACACAATCCAGGATTCTGGAATGACAAAGTGTGACGTCACCAATGTCGCCTGCAGCTGATAATGGCAACAGATACTTAGATACTGAGTTTCGACGGCAAGATTCTGCCTGACTTGCATTCCTGATCGCAAGAGCTAACCATAGCCAACCAAGCACTCTCATGCCCACAAATGTTCTCTCGCTAAATCTTCACCACCATAGCCTGGGACAGGCACTGCCATTATTCTCATCTTTTGCTGGGCAAATGACCTCCAAAGAGGTTAAGATACCCAAAGCATATAAAATTAGAGAGCAGGTGGACCAAGGTTTTTAACCCGAGTCTGACTCTTAAATGAAGTCTTCATTAACAATCCCTAGAACACAGGCCAAACTGTTCGCTATTCTTCTTCCCTGGATAGTGAGATTATGGGGGACCAATTTTCTTCTTTATGCACAATTCGGTTTCCTGATTTTTCTACTGTGACATTTCCTAACTTTTCAATGTAACATTTCCATAGGTCACAGGGAAAAAATTAAGCAGATTCTCGCTCACCAATATGCTTATTAAGTTGACAAGATAATTGAACAAGTAACCTTTAGCCACATTTTACATTTTCCCCTGAAAACACAGGCCCCTGCCTGCCCCACAGTCCTCAACCAGGCAAGCAGCCAGTAGGAGACAGATTCTTCCCCAAGGGAATCGGCAACAATCCCCCTTGCTGAGAACCAGAAAGAAGGCTCCGGTCTCTCTGGTAACCTCTGGAGGTCTCCCCTGGCCTACCTTTAATGAAGGGCACGGGAGGGAGGGGGCTGGTGCAATTACCAGTGAGGTCCGGGAAGGAAAAACAAAGGCCGGGGAAAGTCAAGAGAACAGACCGCTGGGGTTGAGGGGAAGAGGTGGGAAGCAGGGCCCTGAGAGCAAACTTTAGGAAGACTTCCTGTTGTTGGGAAGCTGGGTGGGCGAGCCTGACTCTTTATCAGATTCTGGACCATTTGTGTCTGCAAGCCTGGAGCAGCTGCATTCAGGGCTGGGTGTCACTCACACAATGGCTGGGGACCACACGGGAGAAAAACAGAGCCAGCCTGCCATGGAGCTGCATTATTGTGGTGCCTCCAACTCTGGAGACACACCCGGGGCTCTTGGCTAACAAGCTCTGACACACAGGAGAACAGGCTGGGTGGTCAGTCTGGGAGGGCCAGCCTGGTGCTCTATAGGTAAGCTGTTGCTGTTAGCTCTCCTCCACCTTGGGGATAATGCTAACTTCAAGGGAGTGTCTCAGCAAAAGAGGAGAGCTTGCTTGCAAAGGGCCCGGGACAGTGGCCCTTTGCACTGCTCAACACTACCTATTTTCTCTTCAGTGAGGAAAAAAAAAAAAAAGTAAAATTGTGGAAGACTCCAGGGTTTCAAATATTCTTCATAAAGGTGAGGATCTGCTGTATACAGAGTCAGCTGGGTATTTTAATAAATCGTCTCCTGTCTGACCCATGACATGTATTTTACTTCAGGGAAGATAATTATCCTCCTTAATTTCCCTGTAGGGAAAAAGCTGAACAACACAGAATTATATGCAGCTCCCTACCAGAGGATGCTGGCCTTGCAAAATACACAGACTTGCAGAACAAATGCTGGTATAAAGCATGCAGTGACATCTCTCGTCCAGCAAGGCAATCCCCCCACAGCGTCCCTTCTGGTTGGACTCAAGTTCTGGCTCAGCATCTGACCTTGATAGGAATACCTCTACTGCCCCCGCC